CGCACTCGCCGAAATGCTCCCTCGCGTGGGCGACGCGCGCGTTCGCGACGACGGCCGGCCATTTCGGCGGCCGACGCACGGGCGGCGCGTGGGCGACGAACGCGCGACGCACCCCGTGTCGCGAAGGGGGGGGGTCAGCACGCCGGTCGCGTTACTGGGCCTCAACATACCCAACGCATGAGACCAGCGCGCGCGTTGCCGCGCGAGCGGCGGGGCGCCTGCATGGGGGGGGGCGCGCGTGGAGGGCGCAGTATTCACGCGCGGAGAAAATCGCCGCGCTGCTCTTGGAATTAAAGTGAACCCAACATGAATTCCAAGCTGATTTCGGGTGACCCGCGCGCGAGCGCGCGGGGCCGCGCGGCGCGTTCTGCAGCGCGAACGCGCGCGAGTCGCCACGTTGGCTCGGCGCGTGCAATTTTGCGTCAGCGCGCGACCAATAACTTGCAGGCCAAAAAAACAATGTGCGTTGCATGCCCGTCATGCAGACCCGCGCGAAACCGTGGCGCGCGCGCCGCCGCGTGCGTGGCGGCGCGTCTTCGCGGGGGAAGTCTGCGCGGGGTCGTCATTCCCGCTTTGCGGAAGTCGCCGTAGTTCCGCGGGAATGAAAGTGGTCCCGCGTCGGTTGCCGATCGGATTTCGGGTGGCCCACGCGCGAGCGGGCGGCGCGCGTCAACCGCGGCGCGCGCGCGTTTGCGCGGCGGGTTCTCCATTGCGACGACGCAGATATCGCCGTCTTGGCTGGGGACGCCGAAATTTAGTCTTGCGGGTCATGTTTTCATTTGGCGCTCGGTTTTGGCAAGTCCGCCCTATGCGCGCCCATCGCGCGCGCGCGCCGCCGAGCGCGCGGCGGCGCCGACCGGCGCCATTCGTCAAATAGCTGAAGCGCGAAGCCTGAGCTCTGGACATCCGCGGGCGCGGCAGCAATGGGTGCAATTCATGGGGGAGAGGCATTGTCAACCTTCCCCGCCATGGGGTCCCAAGAAAGCAGAGTGGAATCTAGGGCGCAACTGAGGGTTTTCTTCTGCGCAAAATGCCGCGGGGATTTTCTTTGCGAGGCCGCGGCCGTGGGTTTTCTCTCGCGCCCAGCGCAGCGCGAAAATGGCAGGGCAGCTCTTTCGGTAGGGGGGGCGCGAGAGGAGGGGGAGGAAGAGGAGGAGGACGACGAGGACGACGAGGACGACGAGGACGAGGACGAGGACGAGGACGAGGAGGAAAAGGAGGAGCAGGAGGGGGAGGAGGAGGGGAGGAAGCGGAGGGGGGGGATGGGGGGGGGATGGGGAAAAGGAGGAGGAAAAGGAGGGTTCCCCGCCCCGCTTCTTCATATCTTCACGTGTCGCCCTTCCTCCCACGTCTCATAATTGCCCCCCAGCGCTGGCCCCCGCCTTCTGCCCGCGCTGCAAGTTTGGCCCAGACCTGGCCGACGCTTTGCGAACAACGCGGCGCTTGATTGCACGTTCGGCGCGCGTTCCAAAACGTGGCGGCCGGGCGAACGAGCGCCGTTGCCGCTCGAGTTCGCCGTTGCGCGGGGGCGGGGCGCGCTGCCCGCGCGCCAGCAATTCGGCATCCACGGCGCAACGATGAACGGCTGGTTTCGAGGTTGGGTGTTTCCAGCTGTCGCGATCGATCGGCATCGATGCGATACCGCAAACGAGAACGCGTTGGAGGCCGATGTTTCACGTTTGGTGGCGTCGCGCGATCGTGACGTAGTCATCGAGGGAGGGGGCGGGCGTTGCTATTAAGCCTACTTGCGTTTTTTGTCCGCGCTATCTGTTACAGCCAAGCGCATATGTTGTCTTTGGCGTCGCGGTCACACAGGCATGCGCACAAGCATCCAAGCTCGGTTCGAACGTGGGAGCACTCGGTTGCCAGAACATGTCAGGCCGAATCCCACAACTCCGCTATTATGCCACTTGTTTTCAATACTCATGCACAGCAGGTTACACGATGTGCTCGACACCCACCACGGCCAAGCTTGCTTTCGCTGGGGAAGAAGCATCACAGACCACCGTGTTACACGACCTAACACTGCAAGAAACGGCCGAGGAGTGGTACATATTTTTGTGGGTGGCGACGATCGGCTGCACAAAGTTATCTGACACGGTTGCGCACGAAAACGCGTTTGGGCGGTATTTGGAGATGCCAGAAGTTTAACGGCGTTTCAATGGAATTTGCCCGCACCGAATGCACACATAACATTTTCTTTGCACATCGAGTCGCTGAACACGGAAGCCCACAGCTCACTTTTCTTCAACATCTTGCACCACATGTTTGGCGCGTGCGAGGGAAAAACAAAGGATATATATATATATATATTCTTATACAAAGACATACCATATATGTATACATATTGTTGGATTGGCAGGCGAGCTCAAGGTAGTAGTGTTTATAATTCCATATTATGATGACATTACGAGTGCGCTGTCCGACCGTAGCAAACAAGCGTTGCACATGGCCTTACACTTACATCCAAGTATGACGAAAGTCCTACAAATCTGCCGCAGATTTTCTCGCAGAGGACAGCCATCAGCACACGTGCGCGCGAACGGTATGGTGGTCGAAATAACGCCCCATACAGTTTCACCATATATATACATCTCCATATATAAACACATGAATACATATATATATATATATGTGCGGGAGACGTTTGGCCATTCATTTGACAACACAGGCCGATAACGACAGCTGAGCCGCCGCTGCATGGAAGAAATGCCCTATGCTGAAGCAAGAAATGACATCAATATCATTATTAACGTGACTGCCTCTCGCTCTTCAACGGGACGTGTATATGTATTGTTTTTTGTTTGAGCACGATCGATGAGCACCGTAACCAAGATCGGGAAAACAACGCGCGATCCAATTCGGCGCAATTTGGCTTTGTGGGTAACCGCCGTCGCGGCCCCGCCGCCAACGACGACCGCCCTTCCCCCCCCCTCGGCGCCCAGTCACGGGAAAGAGGCTCATCAAAACAAACGCAGCGGTGGTGTAGATTAATGGGACTTGGTTTTTACACACTACCACCAACAACATGTGCGGTTTCTGTTTAGGGGAATTCCTTTCCTACGGCGCCCGTGCGCCGCGCCGCGTTCTTGTTCGCGCGGAGGCGTGGCGTCGTCTCGTAACCCTACTTCCGATAATTGTTGCCACTGTTCTGTTTGCGGGCGGAGGGGATGCATACAAATTCTTGACGTTTCGCGTATCCCCACCAGGTTGCATCTCAGTTGTGGAAGGTACTTTCCCTGGCCACGTTGTTCCACTCTCTGGATGCTTGTTCTGACGTCGCGATGGTTCGCCGCCGCCGTCAGGGCTTTCCCGCTGGATCTGTCACCTGGCAGTCTGTGCCTACCCGTTAGACTCCTCGGATTGACGTTCCGCTCGGGACCGTTTCCCACCCGTTCTTACCCGAACTGATGGGAACGCCATACGCGCCATTTGGCTGCGCTCGGCTTCCTCGGTGCCTGTTCAGATTCCCTGGATGCGCCGTTGCATGTTCCCTTCAGGGGCTGCCCTGCAGACTCCCTGGATTTGCACGCCTTGGCTCAGACGCCCTGGGTCGCTGCTGCCTGCCGCCTGACCGCGGCCCCGCGCGCGCCCGCCCCCCTAGTCGCGGCCGCAGCCCGACCGTGACCGCCTGCCGCTGGCGCTTCCGCCTGCGGCTGTAAAAAAAAAGTGTCCCCACCAGCCCATCCTACACCAGGCGCTCGAACGAAGAGCGCCGATGATCGGCAGCTGTTCTCCTCCCCCTCTTCCTCCTCCTCCGCCTTCTCCTCCTCCTCTTCTCCTCCTCCTCCCTCACCTCCTGCTCCTCCTCCTCCTCCTCCTCCTCCTCCCTCCTCATCTTCCTCTTCCCTGGTGGCGTCTTGGAAGTATCTTCGAACGTTTTGGTGGGCTCTTGGGCCTTGCGGGCGGGCGGGCGGCGCTCCGCCCGCCCGCGCGCAGGGCCCAAGAGGGGGTCCAAGACGTCTCTCGGAGCCATCTTGGAGGAGATCGATCAACGAAGGGGGGTTCCTAAATTTCAGCCCCCCCCCCCTCAGGAGCCACGATCCTCGTGAGGGGTGTCGAATTTTAGCCCTCCCAGGGGTCGATCTTGGACGCTCTGACCGATCGCGGCCCCCCCTGTCCAGGTCAGAGGGGAGGGGGTAGGGGGAGGGGTAAACCCCTCCCCGAAGGGGAAGGAGGGGTGGAAGAGGAAACTCGTTAAACCACCGACGCCCTAAAGGGCTGGTGGGATTTGCTTTTCAATTTTGGACGCAAAAAGGCCAGACGCTTGCAGCCCACAGGAGGCACGCACCACGGCCGCGCCCGGCCAGGACCAGCCTGGACCCCGGGATGGTGCACAGGCTGGGCCCTGGCATGGTGTGCGCGCTTTCCCAGGAGGAGAGCGTGTACCAAGGCAGGGCCCGTGATGGCCTGGGCCAGGCCGGGTGGTGGTGTACAGCTGCCTCCTGCGCGTGCAGCCCACGAACTCCCCGAGGGGTATACGGCCGCAGCGCGGCAGGCAGCAGACGTACGCGTCAGCGCGCCTGCTCGTCCTTCCTGGCCCCCTGGAAGCCCCCAGCCTGCGGAGCCTCGGGCAGCAGTCCTTCCATTCTCAGGACGTTGGCGACAAAAAGCGGTGCCCATCTTGGCATCGTGGGGCCACAGTTGGCTTGGACCTCTCTGGGCACTCTTGGGCTACGTTTCGCGCGTCTCGGGGCGTGTCGAGACGCCCGCGGGGCCGTCCGGGCGCCCCCTTCTGTACCCGTGGTGCGGCCTTGGATTTCACCGCATTAAGTTATCATCCCCCCTTCTCTGCCTTCCCTCCCCTGCGCCCTCCCCTCCCTCTCCGCTCCACCTTCACTGCCATCAATCGATCCTCTTCCTCTTTGCCTCCGCCCCTTCCCTCTCGAGTCCCTTTTGCCCCCCTCCTATCGCCCCCGTCCCCTATCCCCCCCATCAAATAGCCACGCCTTCCTATCGCCTCTCCTCCACGCGCTATCTTTGTGTCGGAGCCCCTGGAGGTGTTGATGGGCACCCAGCTCACTTGCAACGAGACCGACGACGATCGGGATTGGAATCTGACGGTCCAGCTGATGGAGCGCATCGGCCCCAAGCTCGTGATGGGAGGGGAGGGCACAGGGGATGGAAGGGGAGAGCCGAGAGTGCACGGGCGGGGATAGGAGAGAGACGATGGGCAGGGAGGAGGGAGGGGGTCGTACTGATTGAGTGATGGTCATTGTGATGGAAGTGAGGGCAGATACTATGACAGATTCTGTCCAGGGGGCACGATCTTCGGGCTTGGCATTGAGATCAGTGTCGCACATTCTACTGGCAGCATCATGTCATTCCGCGGCACATCATGATGACGTCCCAGGTGGTGCGATCCATTGTTTCGGAGAATCAACCGTCGACTCGAACATAGAGCACCGCTCATATGGAAGATGCCGACCCGCGCCTGCAGTGTTGTACAGAAAGCGCGCGGGGTGAGGGAGATTGCGAGGTGCTTATTGAGATTCACGTTGTTGGACGAGTTGGAGGTCGAAACAAAGGAGCCGATCAATCTGTGGAAGTCTCATCTTCAGAAGTTGGGATGAGACTTCCTGATGTAGCGGCTGGTGTAGTGGCACGATACGTGTCGGGAAAGCCATTACAGAAGCGCTTCAGCTCCAGATCGGCGATGGTGAAATGATGGTTCAGTGCAGCGGCAAAGCAATACCTTTCGTGTGTGGAGCCGACTGTTCTTGCAGCAGCGGCCTAGGACACATAATGGTTGTCACCCATTTTTTGATCAAGCCAGGGGCCATATGGGTCATATGGCCCCTGGCCATAGGGCTATATTTCTCTGCCCCTCGTCCTCCTCGCTCCCTCTTCGCTCCCCACCTCCCTCGGCTTCGCCACACGACCGAGGGCCCCTCTCGCACACGGAACAGAATACAGTTTTGGGGAAACTCTTTCGCCAGCGCTCGTATTCAGCCAGAGTCTAGCGGACTGCCCAGCCGCGACCACGGCGCCAGCCAATCGCCGCACGGCGCGACGACGCCGCTGCTGCCTCGGTGCCCTCGCGCGAGGAGGGTGCTTCAACCCTGCGGCGCGCCCACTGAACTCAGCAGCAGCATCATGGAGCGAATGGGCGTCTGACAGGTCGTGGGAGTTTCACCACTCCTCGCGCAGGACGAAGGGGGCAACTGCCACACGCTTCGTGGCCCCACAGTGGGCTCCACCGAAGGCCCCAGTGGCAGGGTCCACATGCGCCCCCCGGCCCCATTCGGGCACACCCCTCCCGCGCCTCGTAGATCCATAGGGAGTTCCTCTGCGGGCCCCAGTGGCAGGGTCCACATGCGTCCCCCCGCACCATATTGGCTCACCCTTCACAGATCTTCGTGGCTCCCTGGAGAGCGCCACCGAAGACGATTTTCACAACTGCGTCACTCACAACTGCATACGGTTGGGACTTTCGCCAGGACATTTTGTCCTGGCATCCGATCTCCAGGGGGGGGCGGAGAGAGGTGACGGCCTGGGCGGGTGGGGAGGGGAATGGATTGGAGGGAGGGGAGACGGGGAGTGGAGAGGATCCGAAGGCAACGGGGACGCCTTGGGGAGGAGTGGGGATAGCTTGCGGAGGAGGACGAGGCGGGATGGCAGGGGGAGCCTCCTCCTTTCGCGCCTTCGCTCCGCTGGGATCCCTGCGAGTTCCCAGGCCCGCACGTCAGCGGGAGGAGGAGGAGCGAGGAGGAGGAGGAGGAGGAGCAGTAGGAGGAGGAGGAGGAGCGAGGAGAAGGAGCGAAGAGGAGTAGGAGAGAGGAGAAGGAGGAGCGAATAGGAGGAGGAACGGAGGAGGAGGAGGAGGAAGAAGCGGCGGCATAGGTGGCCAACTGAAGGAGAGGGGCAGCAGGGGTCAGCTTCGGCAACGAGCTGGAGCTGCTCCAGTTTAAGGATACGGCCCCCTCCGGGGTGCGAGCTCCTCGCGGGGCCGCTCCGCAGATTCGTCGTCGTCCTCCTCCTATTCCTCCGTCTTTCCCTCCTCCTCCTCCTCAATCTCCTCCTCCTCAAGCCGTTCTGGTTCAGGCGTTCAGCCTGCGCTTGCAACAGCTTATCTTCAGAGCAGCACGCAGCTGTTGCGGGCCTGATTGGCTCTGGTCCCTTTTACATTCAGTTCTCGGGATCTCGACCCGCACACGATCATTTGTGAGCTCTTGCTGGAGCCTTGTCCTGACCACGACTTTCGCTGCGCCATGGTGGGCAAGGGTGATGGCGGGAAAGGTCGTGTCTCATGGGCGCCATGGCATCGCAGCTGGTCTCAATCGTTCCATCTTGATGGTGGCGGGGGCCGTCTCGGTGCAGGGCGACCGCCACAGCGAGATGATCCGAAGGCCTGGCCCTCCTCTCGTGCCCGGTCTTCAGGGTGCTGCTCGTGACGGCGGTGCTGCTGGCGCCCCTGCCGGCATCCACCCACAGCGTTGGACATGTTGTCGGTGCGGGTGCAAGTAGAGTAAAGGCCGGTAGGTACTATTTCTGCAAACGCTGCGGCGCGTCCAAGAGCGACTCAGCATTGCCTCCTCTTCGTGGTCGTCGGGCAAGTCGATCGAGTTTTCCAGTGACCACAGCGGAGGCAGCACAGGTGGCGGTGGCATAGGTGCCAAAGGAGTGTCCGCCAGCGGCGGCAAGGGCTCCACTGACAGCGCTGCACCATTCACCGCTGAGGAGTACGTGCAACTGGCTGGACTATGTGAGAAGCTGGGTGATGTGCAGGGCGCAAAGGCCCACAAGACGGCGGCGGCGGCACTTCAAGCTCCAGCTACTCCATTGGTACCCATCCTGGTCCAGCGCAACGGCGCGCACCAGAAGGCTCGCGGCGTGGAGAAGCGCCTCGAGAGCGCTGTCAGCAGGTTCGAGCAGCTGGAGAGCCAGCTCGAGTCGCAGCGGGCGCAGGCACTGTTTCTCCGTGCTGAGCTCGTGGAAGCTGAGAGTGAACACGGAGCGGTGGTGCGCCGACTGCACGACTAATTGCCTGGACCTGCCGCTTCGCCTCCAGAAGCGTCAGTTGGAAGCAAGCTTTGCCTGGGGGGCTTGCTTGACGAGCAGTGGTTCTCAGCAGCTTTCGACCTGGACGTGGGCGATTGCTTCGCGGTCACGGACGAAGATCCCCTGTCCTCGGAGGAGAAGATGCAGCTCTCGACCAGAGCGCAGCAGCTCAAGAGTGGCATCTCTGACACGGCGCGCAACCTGTTCGCGGAGACCAAGTCGAAGGTCGACGCCCTCAAGGAGGAGCACAGGCTGCTGGCGCAGCGGATGGCGACCAAGACGAGGCGCTGCGGCGAGGAGAAGGTTCGGCGGGAGGCAGCCCGCCTCCTTCGCAGACGCCGCAGATTTCGGCGGCTGCCGGCCCCGAGCCCGCCGCCTCGCCTGCGCCGACGGGCGGCGAAGCAGCGTCTTCAGCGTCGGCGCCCACGGCTGCCTATCCGACTTCACCGCCTGCTTCGGCGCCAGCCGCCGCGTCGACAGCTCGGGCGCCTTTGCCCGCGCGCGCGCGAGCTGGCAGGATTGCCGGCGCCGCTTCTGATCGTGCCCCCCTGGAGGAGCCTAGTTTTATATTTTGCCGGGACTTTTGGGGCCTCGGCCCGCGCCCCCTCGGGGCCCTGCGCTTGTGAGCCCCCCGGTTTGGTGGCAGGCGTCTTCAGGTCAAACATCCAGGGGGGAGCGATACTTTCCACTCTGTTCGCAACCGCTTAGCGGCACAAGTTGCGCTCTTGCGCAAGGGGGGCATTCCGATTCCCTTCGCCCCCTCCTCATGCAGCCCAGCCCACTCGAGGAGTAATTTCAGTCAGCCGCGCAGGCCGTCAGCCCGACGGCGCTCGCTGCTCGCTCGCGCTGATATGGCGATCGGTCAGACAGGTGACAGCGCGTGCGACATCTCGACTACTCACAGGCGCCAGGCTCCGATTTGTTTCGCTCGACCGTCGGATGTGCACCCAGTGGCCCC